ATGTAGCGAAACACTCGGGAAGGCACCTGAGGGAAGCGTCTTTTCCACCACCCCATGATGTCCTCGTCCAGGTTCTCCTCATCATTCAGGTCTTCTACCTTTTTCCGCTCCGCCTCCTCGATATCCGCGATGAGGGCCAATACATCCGCTTCAGCCACCACCGGGCAGCCATCTCGCAACCACGAGGAGATTTTTCCCCTTTTGGGATGTACCACAACACAGCCACTTCGGCTCCACTGTAATTTGTAGCCCAGGTCAATCAAGCCCCGAACTGGAACAATAGGCTCAATGCCCCCTTCAACCAGAATGGTACCAATCACCGGATCTTGTTTGAGCGACATACGACCATGCGCCAAGTCCCCCGGCACCAATTCAGCTTTTTCCAACTCATCGGGAAGTCCTGTCCGGAGAGGATGGGTTGCCCCCCCATCCAGTAGTCCCACCTTGAGGTCAGGGTCACCTTCACCACATAGCGAAGCCCCAACTGACTTACATTTCACGGCCATGAGTTTTGCCCGATGCAGTGACTTCAACCGTGTTCACCACTTCATCTTGTGGAGCACTCCCCCAGGCGTAGACCTCGACCCAATAGGCGCTTCCTCAACCGTTGCCGTTGTCCCTGGTGAAGTTGAAGCATTGACCTCCTCCTCCAAGACTCCAGCACGCTCCGGCTTTTCCGGGCTGTTTGTGTTGCTTCCCCCTTTGACCTTCGCCACCTTGACCGCCTCTTCTCCCTTCCCCTCCTTCTTCAAGAACGGGCAGGCTGTGCGGCTGTGGTTCAAGCCAGAGCAATGAAAGCACCTGTTGTCCTTGGGACTCAATCGATGGTGCTTGAATTTGCACCGATCGCCACGCCGACACCCTTTTTCGGTCATCCAAAACCTGCAGGTGTCTTTGTCACCGGCGACATTCTCCCGTTGTTCCCCCACCGAAGGACTCGTCCAGGACGTGGATGAGGTTCCGGAAGTAGAATTGGTAGCCACTGCTTTCAATGACGGACCCTTTCCCTATCCCACTCCAGCTCCTGATCCCATCGCCAGCTCTTCCGCCTCCGCTTGTAGGAACTCCGCGAAGATTTTGAGGTTGTCCAACGTAGGCCTGGTGTCGATCAGCAACTGCTGCCTGCTCGTCGCCAGTCGATAGGCCACCTGAGCTCCAGACTTCGCCAAATGGTCCGAAGCCTTCACCAACACCCCTGCAAAGACCACGGGATCCGGAAGAAGTACCCCCAACTCCTCCGAGCGATTCCACCAACGCCGCCAGGTTCGAAGGACCTGCACCACGTCGCCCATGTTTTGGGTCAGCTTAAGCTCGGTCAAGTTCTTGATGAGGTTCATTCGTTCACCTTGTCCTCCAAGTTGAAATTTTATGTAGAGGATGAACAACACCTGAGCAACTGTCATTTTGCGGGCCGTAATGACCTCAGATTTCACAGTGTCGGGCACCGCTTGTAGCAACAGGCTGAGCATCCTCGAGGCCATTTGTTCGCCTCTTCTGCAGGTGCAGGGCCAAGACGCAAGCGCTGTAGAGGATCTGCCACCAACCACGCTTCGTAGGCCTGCTCCACATTCTTTAAGGTCAACTGCCACCATTGATTGGCCTCTTGGCTAATCTCCGATACGATGGGCTCCAGGGTAGTCAACCGGTCACCAAACGTCAGCGCCGTGGCATCCAAGCCCAGCACTGGTAATTCCACCGACCGAGCGTTGTCGCCCAGTAATTCCTCAACTAGCATCCACATACCATTCACACTTGATGGATTTCCATTGGGAAAAATACCACACACACCATTTCCCCATGGAGGTAATCTGGATAGTCCAGGAGGATAGGGCCATGGATATGCTACCGACCCAACGCCTACGCCATTGGGACCCACATTGACTATGGGTGCAGTGGTCTTCACATCTCCAGCAGCTTCTCCACCTAGTTAAATTCGATCACCTTAGACTTTGTCTCCAGGAGCTTCCACTGCCGATTGGAACGACGAGTTCGAGCTCTATGGTGGTCCCAATTTGCGAACTTCTTCTTGGAATTTCGCTTCGGCCTCCCTCAGACATCGTTCACGAAGACGTTCGATTTGATCACCGCCGTCACGAGGTTATTAACCTTGTCCCCGAGGATCGCTTAGACGAGCTTAATCATGAAGTTCCCTCATCTTCTCTGCGGACCAGGGATTCAGTGGTAAGCTCTTCACAAAACCTTTCGTCTCTTCGAGAACTCGTTCACGACCACCACCAATTTCCCGAGGATCAACTCCCCCAGGTCCCTTCACCGATATACTTCCTTCAAGTAGTTCTTCTCGACGTCCTTGAGGTGCCACCGACAATTGGTCTGCAGAGCCTCTAATATCCCATATTCCAGGGTAGGGTTGTTCCAAGCCTGCGAGCATCCCCCAAACTTGTGCTTAAACCGGTTGAAGTAAAGAAGGTATGCCCCCACCGCCCCCACCACCATCGCGCTCTCCAACTTGTCCAGGACCGACTAGTACAGGTAGAGCTGGTTATAATCCATCCACCATAGGCACCTGTGGGAAGGTTGGCAAAGGCAGAACCATCGGCATAAACACCTACGGAAGGCCTCGAGGCCCCAATTCACGAGGATCTTCTAGCGCAGGTAGTGCCCTTTGTTCTTCCACCTATCTTCTCTCCGCCGGCGTGTTTGTCACCGCTACGTAGGATATTCTCTTCAGGGATAGTGTTATCGTTCGGTTCGGCTCCAAGCTCTCCGAGGTTGGTCCCTCGCGACTTCCAACATGACGTCCAGCTGTTCATCAGCCGTTGGTGTTTTCGATCTTCTTTTCCATAACGTCGTCGATGTCATAGCGTCAAAAGATCCTTAAGCTCATAACCCATGGGAGTAGCGTCACGGATGGGTATACGGTCCTTTTCTTGAGGCAAACGTTGTGGCGGTTTTTTCGCCAAATTAGTTGTAGGTCTTACGTGGTCCATGTGCTCTTACAAATTCACGCATATAATTAATTTTATTAATTAAATCAAATTTAATTTATAAAAACCTTTTATAAATTAAATACAAATAGAAAATAAATCAAAATCTATCCATTTTATAATATACAAAAACCTTTTATAAATATAAAAACCATAAAAATTTATTTATTTTTTAATTTACAAAACCCTTTTGTAAATAAAACAAATTAAACAATATATAATATAATAAATACACATCGATTTAATTTATCTAATTATTTTAATTTTTTAAATAATCAAATCCATAAATAAAAAAGAAATTCTTAATTTTTATTTATATTTAATTTACAATTTAAACAATTAAATAAATTAAATAAATCTTAAAAACAAAAATAACTAAAATATCAAAATCTATCAATTTTTTATTTACAAATACTTTTTACAACACATATTTAAATTCAAAATCAACTTATTTGAATTTGTTTCTTTTTACGAATACCTAAAAAATCCTCGATTATATATATTATTTATCATTATAAAGAAACTAAAACAATATATAAGATCAATTATTGTCATTAAATATACCTATTATTTCGAAAGAGTTCTATATTAATTATTTGTAAAATCATATTATATATATTTTCCATTACGAATGGCATTTTTGCGTTAAAATTACGAGTGGGCCGATGGCGTTTTGGCACTGTTCGCGCCATAAGAATCTCACAAAAGGTCTCGCAGAAGAATTTTACAAACACATCTCGCAAAACGATCTCGGAGAATTTCGCAAATGGGGTCTCGCAAGATCTCGTCGAGGAGTGTTGCAAAAGGGTCTCGCAGAAGAATCGGAGGAGATAGGTCTGGCAGACGGGTCTTGCAAACGGATCTCGCAGACGGGGGTCGCCGAAGGCTCTCGCAGAAGGGCTTTGCAGAGAGGTCTCGCAGTTTCCCGCAGCTTCGCTGCTCCGTTCGCTTTCTTGTAGCTTTGCAGCTTCTCACAGCTTCGCATCTTCTTTCTCGAATTTTATTCCTTCCATCCCCGCGCAATGCAAGCATCGATACATGTTCATAAAAGTTCTATATTCATATTGTCACTGTATTTCTCTGCCGTTTGGTGTTACTTTTTGTCGCGCTCCGGTTCCGCTTGCTGCTGTGCCAATAGGCCTGTGAAATGAGCTCGTCCGATCCAGCCCAGCTGGAAGATCAAACGAGCAGAAGTATGACCATGTATTATATATGTATCTCAATGAATTGAAATGTCCATGTGCGGGTGACTTGGGCCCCACATCTTTGGCCATTCAATGCCATTCAGCAAATCAAAGGTAGCTTGTTCAACAACTCACTTGAATTTCCATGATCCGATGATGAGATCAGTTGTTGTAGGTGCAGTGCAGATCACCCGAAAATCATAAAGAAGGTGATACGACACGGACGCGCTGCATGCAAAGCACAAAAAAGCATCCCATCCAACTTCAATTTGACCAAAAAATATCTCTGCCAGGACCTTCCAACAGGTGGTTTTTGGACACCCCTTAACCACCAAGAGGCTGTTCATAGACACTTCTTGGTCCTGGTACCTCTGTTCACTCCAGCATGGCGGTCAGCGTCTGACTGCATGACGGACAACCCAGTCAGCAAATTGCGAGGACGTTGGCCTCAAACACTCAGCAAAACCAAAATAATCATGCCTGAGTCTTTCATACTTTTTAACATTTCGCCCGTGGCTGCTTGTGGGCTTGCCACTGCTGATCTGGTCTTGTCCTGCTTGGCTCCTGGGGAGCTCGTCTTTGAGATGAGAACAGAAACTTGGGGCACTTGGGGGCCCGTACCCTCGGTCACTGCGCCAACGCGAGTCTATTGAATCTCGCGAAGAGCCGAAGAGTGCGATCTGGCATTTTCTGCCACGTCTGCTGATGCACCGTGAGCCATGGAAACCATCCATCAAATCGTTTTGGTGTACACCAAACATCACAAAACCGAAGTGTATAGTTTTGGAAAATCTATAGGGGGTAGGAAGCTACTAGTAACAAGTGCATCGCTTCTAGTAACAAGTGCCTTACTAGTAGTAACAAGAAGCTAGCAGAAACAAGTGAAACAATCGGGTAGACTGGTCTATTTTGTCCTTTCAAAAGGTCGGTCGCGCTGTGTGCTATGATAGTAACGCCACTGGCTATAGCACTGGTCTTAGAGACCTTAAGAGACTCCTTGGATCACATCCTCTACCAGCTATGATTCGATCTGACCTTCATGCAACCCGAATGGCTTGGAGCCCGTCGACGAGCTCGACATGGCTTGCGAGTACATCATTGCATCGACACGAACTCGTCACCCTTCGACATTGACTCGTTCGAGGGAAGGAAACTTGGGAGCCCAGCTTGGAGAACAATCCCCAATGGTGGCACAGGCCGCAACACCAACACCAGTTTCACAAGGATTTGCACACTTAAGGGCACTCAAAAGATTTCAAAAGCCCCAACCTGCAAGCTAGCTTCTAGTCCAACCAGCGGTTCATCGGTTCAACCACCTTCACTGGGCCAAAGGAATAGATAGACTTCCTTAGAACCGATATGGTTCAGGCAGCAAGGCCTCGGTTTGTGGTAGCAGAGCCTCAGCATTGGCCGAGCCCGGCGCATGGCCTTTGCATGAGCAAACTGATCCAAGGATCGCATGAGACCATCTTGGTTGGGGGGCATACACATATATCGATGTCCGATGAGTTGTATATATACCTAGGTCCTCCTGATGTGCGAAAAGATAGTCCGCTTTT